TTATTTTTAATTTGCTAAAACTAATATATTGACCGATTTCATTATCTTATGGTAGTTCTAAACAACTTTATGTATTGTTTACCATTTACATTGAGGATAGTCATGTACACCGTAAACACTTGTATTTTCCATAGAGATAAAGAACTGATAGATTTATTACAATAAAACTTGACTGCAGTTATTGAAGTTATACATATTTGTCTCTGAGGAAAAATGACTTGATTTTCTTGTCAATTTTGATTAGTTTCAGGCATTTTTCTTCACAATCTGGTATTGTATTGCTTTTGATATCAGTCAATCGTTTTCATGGCATAGACCAATCTGAAGACTGTTAATATAGCGATTTCTTATCAGATCTATTAAAGAAGAAATATTGTTCATTGGGTCTGTCAGTATGAAATATTGTTGTCCTTTAATACTCAACTTGAGGCCATTTTAAATATTCCAGTCATAGTAGGATTCAAACTTCTACTTGTAGATTTATTAGAGCTATTTTCCTAATGCTTGTAGTTTAAAAGTCTGGTTGGGTGAATGACATTTGCGCCAATTTTTAAAAATTTCGATCTTTCATTTGCGGGGATTTGATTCTTTCATTAGTGCCGATTGTGTACAGGTGAATGTTATTTTTTATTTTTCATTATTAACCTCTTTTGTTAGTCAGGGGCCAGTTTCACAGAGCTGTCTTAGGATGGTCTTACGACATATCTTGACATTTGCACCAATTTTTAAAAATTTCGATCTTTCATTTGCGGTGATTTGATTCTTTCATTAGCGCCCATTGTGTACAGGTGAATGTTATTTTTTATTTATCATTATAAACCTCTTCTGTTAGCCAGGGGCCAGTTCCACAAAGCTGTCTTAGGATGGTCTTACGACATATCTTAGTCCTAAGTCAGGGTTTCACAAAGTAGTCCTAATTAAATCAGGACATCTGTTACAGTTGCTCATAAAGTTAGGACTACACATGAGGTGTCTTATGATGGTCTTATGATAGTTATAAGTTTATTTATATAAATTACACTCATTTTTTATATCAATTTTGCAGATGGTCTTAGGATAGTTATAAGTTTATTTATATAAATTACACTCATTTTTTATATCAATTTTGCAAATTATCTAATTATTAACTTATTATCTATTCTCCTTTTTCCTGCTCATAACTAAATCTTTATAGATTGACGGATTATCATGATTTGTCAACAATGAACATTCGATGTATTGATATCAGGAATGCACGATTTTATCCTTTGACCTAATATTATAACCGATACGGTACAAGAAAAAATGTCATCATTTTATTCTTTTTTTCTCAATTTTGTATTTAAAGTTTCATATTTATATTGGTGTATTATTTATAGATTATTTATATAAATTACACTAATTTTTTGTATTAATTTTGCAAATAACTAATTATATTAATCAATACGTTGATTGATTTATGGGAAAGACATACTACATTTACATGAATTTTTCCATAAATCCATGTTAATATTTTAAAATTTAAAGAACTTGCGACAGGTTCAGGAAGTCTTTTCTAAGATCATCCTAAGACAGCTTCGAGGCGATGTCTGAGATATGTCCTAAGATAGTCATAAGAGTATCATAAGACATGTCCTAAGATATATCTTATGACAGGTCCTATAATCATATAATCATGCTCTCCATGGGAAGGTGGAAGTAGGATTTCGAGCAGGATAAGTCAATTTGATAAAAGCACTCTGTTTACATCCACTAAAATCACGGAGTAAAAATCTATTTTTTGTTTGTTTCTCGAAATCCTACTTCCGCCTACCCCTGGTGAGCAGGGGACAACAGTTATATACATCTTATAATTGACAATTCACAACATATGTACAACTGGCTAAATGATAAATAAAAAATAACATTCACCTGTAATTTACCTGTACACAATCAGCGCAAATGAAAGAAAAAATCGGCGCAAGTGAAATGCAGATCACTGCAAATGCAAAACGCCGTTATGTTGGCTTGTTTGCTTTGTTTGTATAAATGTTTCTCAAGCATTGTAATTAAGATTGACATCTGCAATCAATAGATAGCTTGTATACATTATACTCTGCATTATACTTAACATGCATCCAATAACATTTAAGTACAATATATACAAGCTGAAGCCCCGCCTATCTAATTGATTGCAGATGTCAATCTTAATTACAATGCTTGAGCAAACATTTATACAAACAAAGCAAGCAAGCAAACCAAACCTTTAAACTACAGGCATTAGGAAAATAGCTCTAAATAGATAAATAATGTTAGTGTGGATTCATATGTGTAGGTGTCAATTTATTTTCGCACTAATTTTGCAGTCTGGTAATGGAGATGAACTGAATTTAGTGTATTACAACAACTATAGAATTCTTGAGGCTTTTCAAAATGACTGTTAGTTAATTGATGAATGAATAGGATGATCAGTGGAAAAATTAAATTTGTGTGGGGTGTGGCATAGAGGGCATACTCACTTTCCCAAACCTGGACCTAGAAATGTAAAATTTATTAGTGCTCATTACAAAACAGTATAAAAAATCCAGCCTCAATTTCTTCCTTTTTTCTGAAGCTGATACAAATATATGTTATATCTTTTAAGAAGATAAATTTCAGAAAAATATTTACATGACATCATAATCCTGAACTGAAAATATGTCGATACATGGGGGAAAAACCCTAAGCATCAACAGCATCTGACAAGTCTATCAAGTAATATCTGTTTTCAAATACCCTATGGTAATTTCAGTGCATTAAAGGATGTTCCCTGCTGGTATTCCAATAACTACATTTTTACGATTGACGTTTTTTTTTTTTGTTCAATAAATAATGCAACCATTTTTGTTCAATATATCATGCATAATGCAACAAAATTATTTGAAAGTAAAGATGGGTTTATGTACTTGTTATTGAGATTCCTGGAATTCAAAATTCAAATTTTTGGTGGGAAAAATAGATTGCTGTGTAAAACTTAATCTTGCTCATATTCATTTCAATCAATTAAGGTATTCATTAATTAGGATCAAGGATCCCCCTTCAGAGTTTTAAGATTATCAAGTCTTTTTCTTTGATACAGATTGGCAGCTCTAAATATGTAGATTGATAGTTGACGGTAAGTTGTCTGATGATTCAGACATTCTTTTAATCTTTTATTCTTTTGTTCATTGTTCATCCATCAACATTTTTTTTATCTGGAACCAACATAAACCAATTACTAGATATCAATGAAACTTTCCTTGAATCTTAAGTACTTCTGTGCATCTCTTATGAGGGTCTGGATGGGTGGTCCATCATTTCTGTATTCTTAAATATTTTAGGCCATTTTTCTCTATTCTTTATACTTTTGCCCATTATTCTCTATTCTGTAAACCCCCATCCACACCCTCTCTAATTATATTTTTCATTCAAATGACTTTTTGGAGTTTCCCAAAGTAACACTTGGACTTTACCTTTTGATTTCTCTTTAGAAAAACATGGAAATTTGCTTTATTTATACGGATCAGTAAAGTCAGTAGTTTATAATAGCCGGTAGATGAAGAAGGCATCTTGAATATATCATCTCATTATATTTTCTCAATGAAAAAGATCAGAAATTGTATAATTATTATCAATTGTAATATTTACTACCTAAAAATTCAAAAATACATAATGGTTGAAATGTTGTAATTGAATTGAGATTTAAACCTTCACAGATTTGTTTTTTTGTTGTTGTTGTTGTGAAGATTGACGTGAGGCCATACGGTGACCAGTTTAGTTGCTAACATATACATCATTTGGTCTGTGGTGGCTAGTTAATTGTCTCATTGGCAATCATACCACATCTCCCTATTTTATTTCCACGATTCTTTACAATTTATAAATACTAATGAAGGGATGGAACTGAAAAAGGAAAAAAAACAGTAAAATATCAATCCATTATTTTCACACTGTGGATAAATGAATGTCTGCATGCTTTGTTTTAACACCAGATTTACGCATGTTTATGAAAGAAATAAAGTAGAAGTGACCTTTTATTAACAAAAGCATCTGATTTTATGAAATCAGGGATCTTATACAGTAGAATTATAAAAAGCTATAATTGAAATGTCAGACATGGAACTATATGGATAAACTGATTAGGTTTATAAAGACATTTGTATAGGGGGAGATATTTGTATGATGTAATAATTGAAATAACTTTTAGTGTGGAAAAAGCTGTCTTTTTGTGGAGTATTATTGAGAAGGGAATCAGACAAAAAAACCATAATAGATTATCTAAAATTATCAAAGTTGTATTGCAGTATATTAATGTATTTCAATTGGATGTATTTTTTTATACTGTCTAAAAAATGAAAAATGAAAAATTAGGCTTAATTAAACAATAGCTTGTATGCAGGATTATGCTAAAACCACAATAATCAAGTATTTACAAAAACACACTTAATTTTTTATGCCCCCGCCGTAGTGGAGGGGGCATTAAGTTTTACCCTTGTCCGTCTGTACGTCTTACCATCTGTACATATGTCCCGAAATTAGTTTCCGTTCTCAAACTTAAGTTTACCTCAACCAAATGTTATGAAACTTATACACAATGCCACAAAATACAAATCAAATTTGAATTTGGGTAGCGTCACTTACACATTTCTTGAGTTATGCCTATTTACAAATAGAAGAATTGCTGAATTTTTCGTTTCCGTTCTCTAACTTAAGTTTGCCTCAACCAATTGTTATGAATCTTATACACAATGCTTATTATCACAAAACTCATATCTAGTATGAACTTTGGTAGCATCACTTTTACTGTTCTTGAGTTGTGTCCCTTTATGAAGTTATATGCAAGCGGGGGCATCATATGTGTCCCATGAACACATTCCTCATTTATTTTTCAATACATTTAAATCAGTATCAACCAAAATAAATGAATCCACAGTGCTTAATTTGGACAAATGTGGATTTTAACCATTTTTACCTTTTTAGAATTTTATATGACTTCTAATTGTTATCTTTTCTATTTTTTTTAGCATCTTATTAATACATTAAAGAGTTTGAATTGGCACGTAGAGGTTGACGAGTTCCAAGATGAGACACCTTACGGAACAAAGACATTCCGTAATATTATAGCAACATATGACCCTTCCAAACCACAACGTCTAGTCCTATCAGCTCATTATGACTCCAAGAATCTTACTGACGGCAGAAAATATTTTGTAGCGGCCACAGACTCAGCTGTTCCATGTGCTATTTTACTGGACATGGCTAAACAACTAGATTGTCTTCTTACTAAAGAAAAGAGTAATAGAGTAGGTCATTATACTGCTTTGTTAGGTGGGGACATGTTTAGAAATTTATCAGGAAAATACAAGTATATCCATTGATTTTTAAAACTTTTGTTTTTAGAAATGTATTGTAAATGTATAGTAGAAATTAGATATGAGACAAGGCCTTTCCCAATAAGATATTTTGATGCAGATGTTAATGTAGGCAAATTTTTTTTTGGTTAAATAAAATTGAGAATGGAAAGCCTTGTTTCATAAATAACAATGCCCAGATCTGTGTGTAAAATGGCCATTTTAAGTAACATATGTCAATTTCAACATGCTTAAGATATCATATTGACAGCTATCAACAGACATTTCTATTCTAATCTGTCTAGATTATATTATCATTGATAAATAATGCTGCGTTCACAAGTTATTCGAATTCGATTCGCTTTAACTAATTCAAATTAGTTTAATTCGCATTTGAAACGTTTTTCGTCTGAACGTAAATTTTAATACGAATTGCAATGCGCATCAAATTAATTTTTTTCCCTGTTATTTTGCACATACCTTTGTTAAAGGAAAAAAAAAACAAATTTTGTTTTGTCTTTGAAATTTTGCCCAGATTTATCACTTCTTAAGAAAACTTCTTGTGTAGGGTACAACGATTTGATTTTTTATGGAGGGTGCTAGGATCAAATTTGAAATAAAAAGCCTCTCAAAAGGCTGTAATATTTTAACTGTGTGATTCTTTCAGTTTTTTTTTTTTGCATTAAAGAATTTAAAAAGCATCCTAAAATAAAGAAGTTTATATTAGATTACACAAAGTAATTTTCCCCCACAAAAAAAAACAACAACGTAATGGAGATGGTGTAATAATCTCCCCTGATTACATGCAGCTGTTTGAAGTGTGAATTGAACATTTATAGGACTTTCCACGCTATTTCTGTAAAATGATTTTATGACGTTGATCGATCAATACATACTTGATGTCATACGGAGCTCTTTAAGTGACTTTTATCAGTAATATGTTGAATTTTGCACTTTCTCGATAGCCCTCATTACCACCTGGATTGAAGTTGTGATATACACGTATGACGTCAACACCACAATGACCACTATGATGTCATTATGGTTTTCGCCTATGATATTTTCGCGGACACAAATTATTAATATTACGTTTTTAATTTTAAAGAATCAAGAAATAATAATAATATTCTTTTAATTTGTCCGTCCAAGCACTTGTTAGGATAATTCGAATTGCAATTTAGAAAGTGTCCACACCACAGTTTAATTCGAATGAAGCAAAATTAACGAAAATGCATTTCTAATGTGAATTGGATAATGCGAAATTAGCCAATTCCAATTCGATTCGAATTAAAAAAAGAAAAGTGTGTGAACGCAATGATCGCAATGAACGAGGCATTAGAAGATGTGGTATGATTGCAAATGAGACAACTGCCACTAGAGACCAAGTGAGATAGGTGTTTGTTAGCAACGGAAGGTCAATCAATGTAAGGCCTTCAACATTGAGCTAAACATAAAATGCATAGCAACCTGTATAAAGCAAAGTTAACAAGACAAAATGTAAAAAATTCAAATGAGAAAACCAAAGTTTATTTTCAAAAAGATAAACAAAAAACAATATTATGTACAGTAAACATATGATAAATATTCATTTTTCAATAGAAATTTTGAAAGGATTGAAAATTTTAACTTTTTTATGAATTTCTAAGGCCATTTAATAGCTCTCATTTTACCTCCTCCTCAACATACATATAATTTCATTTCTGCCAATATCTAAAGCACTTGCTACTCAAATAATGCTTTTAAAAAATTTCCAAATAATTTGAAATATAATATGAAAGGTTTATGTAGCATTTGTTTTGGACATATCTTTCAAACCATGTGCAAAATTTCATTTGGTATCGGACAATTTCCTGCCATAAGTGGTTGTCTTCAATGCTGCCACATTTATCGGTTTTCCTATATGATTACACAGTTGCAATGTAATCGCTGTTGATTAATTTCATGCTTAATCAAGGTTTTAATCAGGTGTAAAATTCAATGTTTTAGAAATGTAATCACCTGTGAGAGTATAGCTTGTAATACAGAAAATATTAATAAACTCGTGTAAACAGATCTGCCATTGTCTTGATTAGAAATATACAGATTGTGTCATTTTATATGGTCCTCTGATGAAATTGATTCATGGTTTAATTCAGACTAAGATGAAAGTGACAAGTACATGATCTCTATATGTTGATGTGCTAAATAAAAAAAATTAAAATAGAGATTATTTTTGTAGCCACACATTAAATTTCATTGTTTTTTGATATAATCTTGGATTTTAGAATGATGAAAAGAGAATGTGATTAATTTGTTTTTACTTGAAAAATTACAAAATGGAGCCTTCATTATAATTCTGGCTTAATGCTGTTTTTCAAATAATCCATATTTTGAAGGAAAAAATTACATATGCATTAAAAAATCTTAATATAATTACAGTAACTTCATAAATGTGAAAGTTACTTTGTTTGTTTTGAAATTTTTGCAAGTAGAATAAGATTCAGGTGATTCTACAAATTGTTTTTTTTTTTCCAAAAAATTAACATGGCTTAAAAAAATCTTAAAAATCTATTACAAAAAAGTCAGATAATTATATTTTTGTTGAATTAATCTTCAACCAGTAAAATAAAATAACAAGTTGAGAATATAATGATAAAGATAATAAAAAGCTTTAAAAAAAAGGAAAATGTAGGAAAAATATTGCTTAGCATAACTAAACAAATGATATGTTGGAACTGCAGATTCACTTGATTTATTTGTTGGTACCATCTTTAATGGATTGAGAAAAAAATTGCTAACTTTATTGATTTTACAAATCTGCATATAGGGCCACAGTACATATACTTAAATTTGTCCTAACTACACCTACATGACTCTGGTATAAAGTGTACAGTAAATACAAACAACTGGTACATAAGTGTATGATGATGAGTTTGTGTTTCATTCTGGTTTACTAGCTTACAAAATTATCATAGAAAAACAAAGGATATTGGGTATCCATCCATGACACAAAATCGGTACATGCACAGAAAAAAAAACACACCAAAAAGACAGTGCTTTTATTGCTGTTTTTCATCTCAAAGTCACAGTGCGGCCTATAACAAGGAGCAAAAACAAAAAAAACAAAAAAAAACATCTCACCTCATTGCATTACTCCATTTAATCAATATCTGAAATTTTCTTGCACATGTTTCAAAATGAGATTAACTTACATTACTGAACATGTAAGACTGTCTCACCTCACTGCAAGTTAACTTAAGACGGTCTTTAGCACTGGCTTTAGGGGTTTAGGGGAATTCTTTGCAAAAATAATTCAGATAGACTTTATCATATACTTTTCTCTAGATTTCATATATAACTACCCGTATTTGTGTTTTTAATCAGATTTAATCTACCTTTTAGTTTCTAGGATAAAATGGATTTCCGTTTTAAAAGGAACAAAAGTCAAAAATGGTAACATTATTTTTTATATATCAGTGCATGTATTATAGAATGTAGTTCTTCCACTGAGTTCTGAGAATAAATTGATGCCATGGATGTTTCAACCGATTTTTTAATTATTGCTGAGATATAAGGCCTTGGGGCATATTCCTTTATAGGATAAAAATGTAATTTTAGAAGGACTATTACCGGAATGATGTATACTAAGCAAGAAAATATATTTAATTTCAGAAAACAGACATTACTCCACAGATTGTATTTTTTGATGGTGAAGAGGCTTACAATCAATGGACAGAAACAGATTCTTTGTACGGAGCCAGACATCTGGCTGATAAATGGCAAAAAACTACTGATCGTAATTTACAAACAAAAAATAATTTACAAACAATTGTAAGTTTTAGTAGTATTATTCCTCTATGTTTATTGAAATCTAGAGGCAAAAAGTTAGAGAGCCATGAAGAAGAAAAAAAATCAAAATAACAAAAAGCATCAAAGGACATAGAATACTTCCCAGTTTTTGTCATATTCTTCTAGGAATGCAAGTCTCCAGAGGGATTTACCAGTGTATCAGCAACTAATGTATTTCACAAGTTCTGATTTGTCCTGAGTCTAGACAAGATCTTAATGAATTCAAAGAGAAAAACCAAGATTCTACCTGAGTGAACACCAGATTGATAAATACATATATCAGGGCAACATGAGTTATCTCCCATGTCAAATTACAGAAGGTCTCATTGATTGTGTGAAAAGCAGTTTGGAAAAGTACCTTTTTTTTGGCATAAAGCAAGTAAAAAAATGCGACACATCAGTGAACTGAAAATTCTGGATGAGCATCTGCTAGTCACTGAAAAATAAAACTAAAAATAAAAATAAAACTCTAGAATCATCAAACAAAATTACATTCACAGTGACAAACTTTTAATTAATGAAATTTCTGACTTAAGACAGACTGGATTAAACAAGCATTTCTAAAACTTAAACTTTCCTTAAATATATCAAACCATGAAGAACAAAATTTAACTGTTAAGTTATATATATATACCATATAAATAAATCCAGAAAAAAATTCTGAATTTATACATGTACATCTAATCATGTTTAATTAAGTCTCCCAAACGAAGTTTGGGAAGACTTATTGTTTTTGCTCAGTTATTATTATTATTATTATTCTTCCTCTTCCTCTTCTGCCGCTTTTAAATTTGAACTTGTCCGCACCCGTTCTCCAAAACCGCTTGTCAGATTAATTTAGGGTTTCACAATATGTTAGACTAACATGTCTAGTGGTGCAATCAGGGTTTTGTTTGTGCAATGGGGTTTATAAAGGGGTACTTTGAGGGGCAAAAAGAAAAGAGGGTTTTACTATAGAACCCTATGGGATTTTATTTTTTTAAATTTTCAAATGATTATAAATTGAAAACCGTTTGTGATAGACACAATCTTTTTAATTGAAAATGTTCTAAATGATAAAACCCATTATTGCGAACCCAATGAAAGTTTTCCACAGTGCCATCTCTATCTTGACCAGGTATTTAAACTTTTGCAAGTTCACCTGTCCTATTGAATAAATACAATAGCTATTGTTCTCTGTGTAGTTTATTCTCTGGGACCTTTAAATTTCTTCTAAGAGAAATCTATCATTCATTGATTAAATTACCTGAGTAAAAAAAAAATCTTATATGTAGACAAAAATACTTTTTTTATACTCATTAATTGCGTGTGATGATGTATTTATTCAATATTAATAATATATTTTCATTCAGTTAATTTCTAACAAAAGTTTTATCAATGTTCCTATTGAAATTTGATTTTTTTTTTGTTTAGTTATAGAATACATTTAAGAAGATCTTAATTTGAAACATCATTATTTTCAAGTTCTTATTCATGTCAAACAATCTTTTTTTTAAAAGGAACAATGTTGAAAGTTTTGTCAGAAATCAACTTTTTATGATTGAATCAATGTTTATATTAAACTGAATGAAAATATATATTATTAATATTGAATAACTACATCATCACACGCAGTTAATGAGTATAAAAAAAAGTATTTTTGTCTACATATAAGATCATTTTTTTACTGAGGTAATTTAATCAATGAATGATAGATTTCTCTTAGAAGAAATTTAAAGGTCCCAGAGAATAAACTACACAGAGAACAATAGCTATTGTATTTACTCAATAGGACAGGTGAACTTGCAAAAGTTTAAATACCTGGTCAAGATAGAGATGGCACTGTGGAAAACTTTCATTGGGTTCGCAATAAATGAAATACAGGGTTAGTCCCCAGGGGTCATTCCCACCCCCTGCCATTTAAGAAAGTTCTAATACCTTGTAAGTGGTTAAGATCCCCACCCCTAAACCATATATATTCTGGTTTGTCATGCTAAGATGGTTTGAATGATATACAAGGTTAGTCCCCAGGGGTCATCCCGACCCCCTGCGATTTGAGAAAGTTCTAATATCTTGTAAATGGTCGAGATCCCCACCCCTAAACCATACAATTCTGGTTTGTCATGCTAAGATGGTTTGAATGATATACAGGGTTAGTCCCCAGGGGTCATCCAGACCCCCTGCCATTTGAGAAAGTTCTAATATCTTGTAAATGGTCGAGATCCCCACCCCTAAACCATATATATTCTGGTTTGTCATGATAAAGCACATGAAGTGAAATACAGGGTTAGTCCCCAGGGGTCACCCCCACCCCATGCCATTTAAGAAAGTTCTAATATCTTGTAAGTGGTCAAGATCCCCACCCCTAAACCATATATATTCTGGTTTGTCATGCTAAGATGGTTTGAATAATATACAGGGTTAGTCCCCAGGGGTCATCCCGACCCCCTGCCATTTGAGAAAGTTCTAATATCTTGTAAATGGTTGAGATCCCCACCCCTAAACCATATATATTCTGGTTTGTCATGATAAAACAAATCAAATGAAATACAGGGTTAGTCCCCAGAGGCCACCCCCACCCTATGCCATTTAAGAAAGTTCTAATATCTTGTAAGTGGTCAAGATCCCCACCCCTAAACCATATATATTCTGGTTTGTCATGCTAAGATGGTTTGAATGGTATACAGGGTTAGTCCCCAGGGGTCATCTTGACCCCCTGCCATTTGAGAAAGTTCTAATATCTTGTAAATGGTCGAGATCCCTACCCCTAAACCATATATATTCTGGTTTGTCATGCCAAGTGATTGAATGATATACAGGGTTTGTCCCCAGGCATCACTAATGCATATAACTTTACTGGACCAAACCAATTTTCACTGGACTTTGCCCAATGTCAGGCGACCCTGGAAATTACGAATTATGGGAGCTTCGTTTGGGAGTCTTCGTAACAGCATCCTGTTACAATCATTTCTTGTTCATATTTGTCTTTTTGTTTATGTGTATCATAATTGATTTATTGATCTTTTTTGATGGTTTATTTGCATTCTATATTTAATTGGCTCGTTATCTTACCCATATGCAGTCACTTCTAACGATATTGAAATTGAGGAAATATTTTTTTGGCTGATAAGGACACTAAAGATAGAACTGAGTCGACATCTTTAGATGTATTTATTTTTTCATTATCCTGAAAAAGACCTCTTTAAAAATACTCATGTACAGAAGCTGTGCTGCTTAGAAAAGGACACACATTTCTTTAAAATTTTCCTTAACAGCATAGTGAGGGCTTCAGTAGGGTACCCTTCTTAGGTTGCAACGTCACTTTTAAGCAAATTTAAGTAAAAAAAAGCTGTAAATTAAAACTCATACTAAAATGACCAATTGTAAAAAAAAATTAGACAACACACTTACTGTTTTTATTGTAATGGAAAAGTAATTTTTTAAGAATGGTTTTTAAATTTTCAAAGGTTGCAGGTCACAGGTTGTTTTAAATGAGACATAAGGTTGCAAGGTCGCTTGCCAAACCTCCAAGGGTGCAGGTCACCGAACACTTCATCTGTACAAACTTGCAGAATACTGTAATATTGAAAAAGTATTATATCTATTGAACGATCAGATCTTTTTTTGTTGGGAGGATTTTTATTTTGGGGGGAGGGTGGGGGGGAGGGGAGAACTAAGTGGTTTCAAAATCTATCCCAATGCTGGATGGTTTATTGAATAATGCTGACTTTGCAATAGTAAATTAGTAAATGTTAAGATCGATTCAATGTCATGGGATAGTATTTAACAGCTTTTCTTGTTTGGTCATTTGGCATGTGATATTTACTAATTTCTCAGAGAAGGTCCATGGTTCAAAATTGTAGGTACTGCAGTAAACAAATTCATTTTTGGAGAGATTTAAGCTTTGCTATTTCTTGGACCAAACTTGTTTGCAAGATTTGTTATGTGTCGTTTTACTGACCATAATTTTAATTGTTCTTAAAGTTCAAATTTACATAATTTTTTTTTTATTTTGCAATTTTACCTTCATTACGCAAGTAGCTAAAAATAAACCTCTCGGAAAAATTTCCCACATGACAGTATAAAAGACTGACCTAAAATTGTATGAATGAAAGAAAGTAATTTTATATCATACCCTTTCTTTTCCATTACAATAAAAACAGTAAGTGTGTTGTCTAATTTTTTTTACAATTGGTCATTTTAGTATGAGTTTAAATTTACAGCTTTTTGAACAATTGTTAAGAATTGAAAACAATATTTCTCAGGTGAAATAACTTGCTTTAGGTGACTTTTGTTTAAGATTTATCTGATTCTCACCAGAGCAATTCTGCTTTCAACAGCTATTGTTTTGTTTGAAGATCTGTTGAGTAGAATTAAACATCTGAAAGAAATTGATTAACAGATGCATAGTTTTGGGGGAGTGAAACTAATCAGACATACAAAAATGAGTTTTCATATACCATTCTGTGTTTTACTGTTATACCTTTTTTTCCAGAAACTTCTTGTGTTGTTAGATTTAATTGGGTCAGCTGATGTAGCATTCAGAAATTTTTTCCCAGAGACATCAAAAGAATTTGAAAATTTAGTGAAACTTGGTGAGTGCTTTTTGTTATTATCAGTAATGGATGTAATGTGATTGTGGTTTTGAAAAAAAACCTTTTATACTCAATTAATTCATTTAAATAGGCTTTAGAAATGTTTATACCACAAGTAATTTTGCAAAGAAGTCCTCTGAAATTCATTCATATCTGACCAGTTAATTTAATTAAGAAACAATCATCATAATCAAACATTGGTTAAAACCATACCAAAGAATAATGTATCATCAGGCCATTTTTTTGGCCCCTTGCTTTCCAACATAAAAAGTTATTGTAGGCCTTTGAAATCTTGTAGATCTTCACATGAGACGATCTGTGTCAGATATCTAATTTTTATGCCCCCGCCGTAGCAAAAGGGGGTATTAAATGTTACCCTTGACCATATGTCCATCCTTCTGTCTGTCTGTCACTCCATCCCATTTTAGTTTCCGCACTCTAACTTCAGTTTTCCTCATCCAAATTTTATGAAACTCATACACAATGCTAAGAACCACAACACGCAAACAGAGTTCAAATTTGGCTTGTTAGTCATTTACCTTTCTAGAGTGATGCCCCTTTTGAACTTGGAAAATTGCAAAACTTGAGCAGGGGCATTTGTGTCCTCAAACACATTCTTCTTTTATTTAATTTTTGTATAAACATTTTTGTTTTTAATTCATTTAATTTTGTCTATATATTAACTAGAAGTCTTTAAAACGTCTTGCATTGAAAAAACAAACATCCAAAAATGCCAAAATAGCATCAATTACATATCTTTTCACTATTACTATTTAAATATGAGCAAGAGCCTTTCTTCTTACAATATTTTTTTTATAGATTATTTTTATTTGAGATAAAATTATTTGGGTAAGAATGCTGCTTGTATTTAATTTTACCCATTTTAGGTAAGGAGCTGTGGCATGATTACCAATGAGACAACTGTTCATCATTGTTTATTTCAGGTCAAATATGCCAACTTCAATTCCTTGCTAGTATCATCATGTCCGAGTGACATCAGCAATGACACTTCTGTTCTATTGCCGAATACAGTATATTTTCCCTTTTAATTGTTTTTTATTCCCCGAGGGGAGCATTATGTGTTAACCTTGATCTTCCATCCTCCTGTCTTTCCATCCTTCAGTCTTTCATTCCATCTGTCTCATTTTCATTGCAAAGCTTGAGCAGGGGCATTCATGTCCTTAGACACATTCTTCTATTATTGTTGTTTGATTTGGTAACTGTTCCATCAAGATATATAGCCCATATATTTTTTAAAGTTTTATATTTTATAATTTATTGAGCCTGTCGAATGAGTTGTAACCTTATATATAAAAAAGAAGATGTGGTATGATTGCCAATGAGACAACTCTTCATAAGAGACCAAATGACACAGAAATTAATAACTATAGGTCACCGTACGGCCTTCAACAATGAGAAAAGCCCATACCACACAGTCAGCTATAAAGGCCCAGAAATGAAAATGTAAAACAATTCAAACGAGAAAACTAACGGCCTAATTTATGTACAAAAAATGAACAAATAACAAATATGTAACACATAAACAAACGACAACCACTGAATTACTGGCTCCTGACTTGGGACAGGCACATACATACAGAATGTGGTGGGGTTAAACATGTTAGCGGGATCCCAACCCTCCCCTTAACCTGGGACAGTGGTGTAACAGTACAACATAAGAACGAACTATAAAAATCAGTTGAAAGAGGCTTAACTCATCAGATGGATAAAAATACAAATACTACAAATACAAGTGGACGTGGCAGGGTACTTGTACATCCAAACAACAAAAAGACACTAAGTACAGATCTGAGAGTACTCGCAGTTACTGACAGCTAGTTCAAAGCCACTAAAAACTAATAAAAAAAAATCATGCATCTAAGACTTAATTATCAATCCGTACACATCCAACATCCAATGGATTTAGTGTAAAGACAACTTTAACAGTCAGATAAAAACATGATCTTGTGCAATGCCAAGATACAGGTATCAACAGATTGTAGATCCATGAATGTGTATACGTATATAACAATAATATTTAGTTTGCTTTTAATTTACTGATAACAAAATCAATATTAGTACCAATAAAAACAATATTTAATGTTCTTATTACAGTGTTGAATTGGTAACCTTTTAGAATAAGTTTATTTAAAGGATAAGTTTTTATGAAATTATTTTGTTTTTGGGGGAGGGGGGGGGGATCTAGATCTATTAATGGTAAAGATCATTTGGTTATTTTTTATTCTCTTTTTTTCAGAAAAAGTTCTAAATGAAAAAGATTTTTTGAATAAAGAAGGTATACGAAAGAGGTCGCCATTATTTGTAACAGATAATAGATTTTCCTACTTTGGTGGTGGAATTGAAGATGATCATATTCCTTTTCTTAGAAAAGGTAAGATATAATTATATAACTGTGGACTCACTATGATTTTTATGGTACTAATTTGTATAAAGTCCATTGGTATAGTCATCAAGAATTGAAGTGTTTAACTGCTTCAATTTTCTATAGGTTTATCATGTCAATATGGATTATTTTATTTAAACCATGAATTCAAGTGTTCAGGAAAATACAATTCTCCTACAATCCACCAAATTTTGTACCTTTTAAAAGTAGATAAATACACTCTACCGGTATACATCAAAATGAAAAAAAGACAAAAAAGATGATCTTCCTCCCAGTCATTTAGGAATCAAGCTTATATTTATGTTCTTCTAAGCACACACGTTACAACAGTATGGTATCTGAATATTTGTCGGATTTAATTTGATAACTTTGAATCACAAACTGAGTTTGCTAGCAACCTTTTTTGTAACTATCAAATACAAAATGGATGCCCCAATTCATATTACAGTAGTATACCAATGTTAAAATCTCAGAATTCCATTTAGAAGATTCAAGTCAAGATAACAGACACAAACTAAGGGAATCACATGAACTGTTCAAATAAGTAAGACTTGGTCCGTTGACAGGGTAAGCTTCTCCTGCTTAGCATGCATACTCAGCCAAGTGAAAGCATAGTCAGTCAGAATGTCGAAATCAGGAATAGGACACAATCGTAAGGAATTATTATAAAAACTATCATATTAATATGTTTTCTTTTGAAGGTGTAAAAATTCTCCATCTGATATCTAGTCCGTTTCCACGTGTTTGGCACACGATGGGTGATGATGAAACTGCTATAGACTATGATGTTACTGACAATTTCAACAGAATCTTCAGGACATTTGTTGCTAATTATTTAAGATTAGATGCAACCGATTCAAACTGTCGCAGAAAAAAGAAATAAAATTGTTAATATTTTTCATAAAGTATTTATGTTATGTTTGTCAATAATAGTGTTTATTTGTTATTTGATTTGAGATATATACAGTACTCAGAACAATCCTGTCATGTTTGGTTCAGAATGGTAGCACACTTATTTGATTGATCTCAAATCAAAGCCCACTGACTTGAGTATACTTTGAGTTGGGATTGGTAAAAGTTAGTTTTCCCTTTATTGTCATTTCAGAGTAATAGGACTTAAGCCATCAGATTGAAGGAAAATTTTCACATGTCATGCCCTCACTTAAGTATTATACTAGAAATTTACTTCCAACTTGACGTGTTTGTTGCCATTTTTAGCTCACCTGACCCGAAGGGTCAAGTGAGCTTTTCTCATCACTTGGCGTCTGTCGTCCGTCGTCGTCGTCGTCGTCCGTCGTCGTTAGCTTTTTACAAAAATCTTCTCCTCTGAAACCACTGGGCCAAATTTAACCAAACTTGGCCACAATCATCATTAGGGTATCTAGTTTAAAAAATGTGTCCGATGACCCCGCCAACCAACCGAGATGGCCGCCATGGCTAAAAATAGAACATAGGGGTAAAATGTAGATTTTGGCTTATATCTCTGAAACCAAAGCATTTAGAGGAAATCTGACATAGGGTAAAACTGATTATTAGGTCAAGATCTATCTGCCCTGAAATTTTCAGACAAATCTGACAACCTGTTGTTGGGTTGGTGCCCCTGAATTGGTAATTTTAAGGAAATTTTGCAGTTTTTGGTTATTATCTTGAATATTATTATAGATAGAGATAAACTGTAAACAGCAATAATGTTCAGCAAAGTAAGATCTTCAAATAAGTTGTCATGACCAAAATTGTCAGTCGACCCCTTTAGGAGTAATTGCCCTTAATAATCAATTTTTAACAATTTTTCGTAAATTTTTGTAATCTTTTACAAAAATCTTCTTCTCTGAAACTACTGATACAAATTTAACCATACTTGGCCATAATCATTATTAGGGTATCTAGTTTAAAAAATTGTGTTTGATGACCCCGCCAACCAACCAAGATGGCCGCCATGGCTAAAATTAGAACATAGGGGTAAAATGCAGTTTTTGGTTTATATCTCTGAAACTAAAGCATTTAGAGCAAATCTGACATGTGGCAAAAATGTTCATCAGATTTAGATTTATCTGCCCTGAAATTTTCAGACAAATCCGACGACCCGTTGTTGGGTTGCTGCCCCTGAGTTAGTAATTTTACAAAAATTTTGCAGTTTTTTGTTATTATCTTAGATATCATTATAATATCTAATATCTAATACTATTAATTATGATTTTAACCTTATTTTACATGATTTCCAAAGCATCAGTAAATACAGGTGAGCGACACAGGCTCTTGAGAGCCTCTAGTTTGTATTGAATTTGAAGAACAAGAATGATTTTATAAAAATAAGAAGATGTGGTATGATTTCCAATGAGACAACTCTCCACAAGAGACCAGTTGACACAGAAATTAACAACTATAGGTCACCATAGGGCCTTCTACAATGAACAAAGCCCATACGGCAAAGTCTGCTATAAAAGGCCCAGAAATGACAAATGTAAAACAATTCAAACGAGAAAATTAACTGCCTAATTTATGTACAAAATAATGAACGAAAAACAAATATGTAAGACAGCAACAAACGAAAACCACTGAATTACAGGCTCCTGACATGGGACAGACACATACAGAATGTGGCGGGGTTAAACTCAATTTGCCTTTTCAGAAATATGGGCTTTAAATTGTCAAATTTAAGGCACTTTATTTTACCTAAGGATTACGGCAAGGTTTTTTGCAGGGCTATTTTACTGAAATCTGATTTAGTGCCTCCTACCTACACACTATTCTTGTGGCATTTTTAATATATATGTATACCATGGATGTTAAAAGATGACAAAGATACCGTGCCTATAATTTTAGTACAACAGATGCTTGTTTGTTAAGACAAATTTAATCAGTGGCAACATTTTGCTAAAAGTACCTGTTGTTGAAAGTAATTGCTGAGTTTAAACTTGTTTGAATATAAGGTTATACCATCTGATACAAGCTATTATGTACCACCTTTGATAAGATTTTAGTATAACGATAAATTTTTACTTCTGTACTCGTACTCTGAACAACAAATTTATTAATTTTGTAAAAAAATTTCCTTACTCCTAACAACAAAATTATTATATTTAAATTTACCTGGGTACGTTGTTTTATTTATCGCCATTTTGTCCCAGTATAGAGTTGGCTTATTGACACTCTTATTCATATTTTTTTTATTAATACCTGTAACTTCTGTTATATAGGCACCTACGTTTTAATATTGTATTTATATTGTGTCATAGATCAAACTTATTCGTTTAGTGTATGTGTACTTGTTTTTGTTAATATGTCTTTTTGATTGAGTTAGGCCATTTCAATTGATATTTTATAGTGTGTCTTTGTATGTTGTTATGTTACACTACTATATCATGTTAGGTTGAAGGTTAGCGCCTGTTAAAACGTTTAAACCTGCTGCATTTTTATGCACCTGTCCTAAGTCAGGAGCTTGTTGTTCAGTGGTTGTCGTTTGTTGGTGTGGTTCATAGGTGTTTCTTGTTTCTCGTTTTTTATATAGATTAGACAGTTGGTTTTCCTGTTTAAATTGTTTTACACTAATCATTTTGGGGCCTTTTATAGCTTGCTGTTCGGTGTGAGCCAAGGCTCCGTGTTGAAGGCCGTACTTTGACCTATAATTGTTAACTTATATACATTGTGACTTGGATGGAGAGTTGTCTCATTGGCATTCGTACCACATCTTCTTATTTATATTATGCTTGAACAATATTTATGCCAATACTAGAATTAAGGCGATAGTAGTTTACTGATGTTCAAATCTCGTAATATGATGCAGAGGAGACACATCAAGATAACAAACAAAAACTAAAGGAATCACAGGAAATCAAAAGGAGCTAGAACGTGTGTGTTGACAGAAATTTGAGACAGCAGAAATGATCAGCAGTACAACATTTTGATTCAAACAGTCAGTTGATTTCTAGTCGGGTAGGAGTTATTGTCCTTAATGACGATTTTTGACCTGTTTTAGCATTTCTGTCTAGTATTTCATAACCTCTTTTTATTTTTTAAAGAGACTGTGTTAAACAGCATACAAATCAACAATACAAGACTATGTCTAGAATTATTAATTGACTACTTGGGACATATTGCCCTTAAATTGCATTTTTCAGCCGTAACATATTCTTTTGAGTCAAGACACAGACTCATTCTTTATGCTAATCAATTGATGATGGCGTCTGCAAAACTTGCAAAGTGCCGTTTCAGTCGTTCTTTCTCACAACTCAAGACATCGGTGGTTGAATATACTTAGAATTTCGTCTACAGTTGTCACTAGTTTGTCAACACTGAGGATTGTGAGTTTGAACCCCTCTCGTGACAAGGTTCGTTCGACTGCGACAATGACTGCCAGTTTACCTACCGAGGTCGGTTGTTTTCTCTGTGTATAAATCTAGTTTCCTGAACCAATAAAAACTTACCGCCATGATGACCAAAAAAGAGCTAAACAAAATTTTAAACACTAACAAGTAATCAATCCTCAACCATGCTGGAACAGTTTTAGCGTCAAGAGTCAACCTTGGGGATGATTAAGTTTGTGTAATATGAACTTTCAATTTAGATACATAAACGCCACACAATCGGACTAGGGATAACTTATATATAATTAAGGCTGAGATATGTGAAGTTGATGATTGGAAAGGTGGAATCGTCACAATATTTGATAGATCCTACTTTGAAGTCGTTCATCAGTGTTAATATAAAAAAAAAACTCATCAAATAAACCAGGCTATATATTAATTTTATACGGCAAATGGGAGTTTCGTCTTCAAAAGAACCATCAGTGACGCTTCAATAAAATAAGTTAAACGTCAAATCAAGTACGGAGTTGAAGAGCTATATATAACCCAAAATTCCGAACGGTTTTGCCAAATACAACTAAGGTAATATATGCTTGGGGTAGAAATTCCTTTTAGTCTCGGAACAATTCAAAGTCTTAAAACAGTTAATTCATACATATGACCATATCAATGACATTTCATGTCAATACAGAAGTGCTGATTACTGGGCTGTCGAAAATTGGTCCAAATATGAGGCTGACTTTTTTCTATTAAGAATTCCTAATGTCTAGTTTACTTGAATGTATGGGGTGGCATAAATAATTTGTAAATATTTTTTGTCGTTATTCTATTATGCAAGTATTACTATGTATATTTTGACCAGATGAGCGATTTAGACTATCATGTTATAACTCAAACAATTCTCAATTGAAACTACCGTTGTCTAAAATGTTGTATATTTGTATAACAAAGTAAGAAGACAATAAGAGGTCAATCGAATCAATAATACTGTTGATAAATGGAACAGAAGACGTCTAAGAACATGAATCAAGTTAGGAATATGACAGTTGTCATCCATTCGTTTGATGTGTTTGAGCTTTTGATTTTGCCATTTGATTAGGGACTTTCCGTTTTGAATTTTCCTCGGAGGTCGGTATTTTTGTTATTTTACTTTTCACCTACCAAAAATATGTCATTTTGATATTTGTATTTGGCTGTGTTTGATTATTTGCAGATCCGATCTAGCTACTACTTTTGCAATTTCCTTTATCTTTTATAGTCTTTACGAAAAGATTCAAAACATAGTATTAATTGTAATCTAAGGACACTAACTGTTTAAAAGGGTAGATTTAAGATTTTTGTCATGTTCATTTAATTGTAGATTTTGTCTTGCATATCATTTTTGCTGCTTTCAATTTCTAATTATCATTATGATTTGGAAGGTAATGGCCAAACGGGGGTAAAAATCACAAAATAAGAACAACAAATCAAGTCAGTGTAAATATTGTTGATGTTGACATATTTGCACATCAAATCGGGATGATTTTGGTTTTGCTGTTTAAAGTTTATTCCATCTATCATAGTTTGTAAGAAAGTTGACCCAAAATTAATTTATAAAGCTGGTATTTAAGAGCAATCACTCATATAATCTCTGTCATGTG